GTAGAAGATCATGTATTCGTACCAGACATACACCCTGACGAAAATGGTGACCAAGGAGACAAATTCGTAGAGGACTACATTTCACGACTTACAACGCTTCCTCTTGATAGATCAAGACCCTTGTGGGATATCCACATCCTCAACGTCAAAACATCTGATGCAGAAGCGGTCGGTGTCATAAGATCTCACCATTCGTTGGGAGATGGAATGTCCCGTATGTCTCTCATCATGGCGTGTACTCATAAAACATCAGACCCTGAAGCACTTCCTACTATTCCTATCCTTAAACGACGTGAAAACGTGTCAGATGGCCTTAGAGACACAGGATGGTTCTTAAGGTTGATGGTCGCAATTTATGCCACAGTGATCTTGATTTGGAATACCATTGTAGATCTTCTGTTACTCTTGGCTACGGTGTTGTTTTTGAAGGATACAGAGACGTCTCTAAAAGGTGGCGCAGAAGCCGAGAGCAATCCGAGGAGATTTTCTCATCGAATTGTTTCTTTGGATGACATTAGAAGTATAAAGGACGTCATGGATATGGTACGTTAGAATATATTCGGCTTAGTGTTTAATATGATTTCCTCTATATAACTTTTCACAAACAAATTTAGTGTTTCTCTTCTTTCATGATCTTCTGCCCATCTCTAGACAATCAACGATGTTCTACTTGGAGTTACACAAGCTGCTCTCTCGCGTTATTTACACGGAGCACATGGTAAACATTGAATTGCAACAATAACATATATAAATGTGATTTATATAAGTCTATTTTTTTTTTGCATTTATGTGTTGCTTATTGACCTTATAAAAGACAAGACGAGTGAGCATGGTGGAACGTCCACACCGCTTCTAAAGATAATTCCATGTAATGTACGAGTTCGTGCAGGTGTTTTGGTAAACCTAAGGTCGGAAATTGGAATCCAGGTTAGAAACATGGACATTTAAATAAACCATAGTTCAAAGTTTTAGAAAAAAATACATTATTTGTGACACAAGGCAATTATGAATGAAGCCATTGGCAGATATGATGGCAAAAGATTCGAAATGCCGATGGGGAAACCATATCAACATAGTTGTGTTACCACTATCAATTGGTTCAGAAACGGATCCATTGGTTTACCTATCGAATGCTAAATCCGCAATGGATCAAAAGAAGAACTCTCTTCATGCTCCTATACTTTATTCGATTCTGAGCTTCATTCTTAGTGTGTTTGGTGAAAAGGTATATAAAACTGATCAGTTTTACTCAATTTTTGTCCTCTTGGTGGAAGTGGGAACTGATATATATAAGGCTCTTTTCATTGTAGATAGGAGCAGCATTGTTCAAACGAGTTTTATTAAGCACAACGGTATGCATTTCAAACGTCAATGGCCCAACGGAGGAAATCAGTTTCCATGGCCATCCAATTGCGTATATCATTCCTAGTGTCTATGGACACCCACAAGTATGTAAAGAGAGAAATAACTCCTCAGTATTACATAACTTGTCACAACCTTTCTCTTGTTAATAGTTTTTTGTTTGTTCTGCATGACTTATGTGTGTTTGATAGGCATTGATGATCCATTTCCAAAGTTATGCGAACAAGATGGTAATCTCTATAGCGGTTGACCCTACAATCATACCAGATCCTCACAAGATATGTGATGAAATGGAGGAGTCTTTGAAATCTATGAAAACCGCTCTTGTAGAAAAGGGCTACTGATTAATGAACAAGTATCCGTACGGGTGAATAGTATGTGTAAGTATTTGGTGGAAAAAATGTCTTTACCACCCTTCATTGTCAAAAATATTCTAAACTCATTTCACATTTTGTTTCTTTTCGTTTTGTTTGTTTGTTTGAAACACCTTTCACATCTTGTTTCATATTAGATGAAATGAAAGTGTATTTTCTAAACAGAGGATTAGTTAAAATGTGATTTAGCATATATTAAATTCATATCCACCTTGCAACTAAATTAAAGTAATTGAAATCTTACTTTAACAACAGTCTACAGTCTGCTTAATATAAGACCAAGGTTCTAAAAATTGTTCTAGGTGCCCACCTAGACGGAAACACTCTAAGCAAAATGATTTTCCGAATTATATGATTCAAATCGGTTTAAATCATTCTAAAATGGTTTATTAGATTAGTATAAATCTGTTAAATTAAGTAATAATATTGATGACCAAAAAATGTAATAATAGTAGTAAAAATTTTCATCAAAATAATTTTATAATTAAATCCAAAAACTAAAATATCTTATATAAATTTAAAATGTATCTATACTATTATTTAAGAAGTAATTTTGCTGAGGTGTCATGTTCTCCATAAATTTAGGTAATTTTGTTTAATTATCATATTTATATTATTATATATAATTTATTTATAAATAAAACGAATTTAAATGAATACATCATATTTTAGTAAATAAGATAATTCTTATGAATTATGTTGTTATCTAGAAATATATTTTAAGAATTATCTTATTATCTTATTATCTAGAATATATTTTAAGAATTATCTTATTATGTAGAAATATATTTTTGTATATAAAACTTAAAAATATAATTCTTATGTATTATGTTGTTATGTTGAAAATATATTTTTCTATTATAAAACTGAAAATTAAGATAGAAATATTATTTTATTAATAATTAAATTTTTTTTTTAGAAAATAAGTTAATTCTTATGTATTATGTTGTTATCTTGAAAATATATTTTTCTATTATAAAATTTAAAATTAACATGTTAAAAATATATACTATTATTTAAGAAGTGAATTTAATATTTGCTGATTTGTCATATTTTTCATGATTTCAAGTAATTTTGATAACTTATCATAATTTCTATAATTTTATATATAATTTATTATATATTTAAAACAAATTTATATTAATTATATTAGATTCTTAGAAAATAAAATATTTCTTATGTATTAATTTGTTGTCATGAAAATATATTTTTGTATTATAAATTTAAGATATAAATAGTTGTAGTTATTCTATAATTGAAATAAATTTACACTAATAATATTATAATTTTAGAAAATAAGGTAATTCTTATGTATTGGTTGTTATCTTGAAAATATACTTTTATATTATATAATTTAAAATTAAAATAGCAAATTATCGATTATTAATCAAATATAAATCATCATTCAATAAAAATTATTTAAGAAGTGAATTTGCTGATTGATTAAGTTCTCCATGATTTTAGGTAATTTTAATTATATGTTTTTCTATTATAAATTTTAAAATTAAGATATAAAAATTAAAATTAAATATAAATTAAGTAAAAAATTTGTATACATTAACTATAAATTAAGCTAAATAATTATATAAATATATTCTTTTAAATATTTATGATGATTGAGTTTTGTCATTAATAATTATTTGATGTTTGATATGTACCTTTTGAGAACATAAATAATAACTTATTATACTGATTTTTAAACTAATGAAACATCAACTAATAAATATTTATAAGGGAATTATGCCCGCAAGTGCGAATAAAACACCTAGTATAAAGTAAATCAATAATTTTTAATGCCTAGTCCTGGCCTAGACCCCGAATAATCTAGCATAGACCTAAGGCTCTATAGAACGTTTAGTTACCATTTATCGAATTCTAGAACATGTTATAAGACTTGATATCTTATAAATCACTATTAGGTGTTTTGCCCGAACATGATTTTCGTACAATTTATTATTATTCTATATTTTATTAATTCAAACCAATATAATAAGTTATGATTTATGTTTTAAAATTAATTATAAAAACAACACTCTCATAACAAAATACTTTTATAAATATATTTTATAAATGTGTTGATTTAATTTATTTTAATTATAATTTTTTTATGTCTTAATTTTTTTATTTCTATAATAAAATATATTTTCAAGATAACAATATAATACATAAGAAGTATCTTATTTTCTCAAAATATGATTTTTAATAGAATTTTTTTTTATTTTATAATAAATTTTATATGAAATTATAAAAATATGACAAATAATCAAAAATATCTAAATCATGAAAAAATTGCAAATCAGATAATTCACTTAAATTTTCTAATAAAAAATATATGTTCAAGATAACAATCTAATACATAAGAATTATGTTATTTTTTAAAATCTAGTAATAATAGTATACATTCGTTTTATTATTTAATAAATTATATATGAAATTATTAAAATATGATAAATAAGCAATATAAAACTATGGAGAAGTTGATAAATCAGCATTGCTTTATTTATATTTAACTATTAATATTTTAACTTAATTTTTAATTTCTATGATTTTTTTAAAAATATATTTTAAAGATAACAATATAATACATTAGAATTATCTTATTTTCTAAAAGTCTAATATTATTAATAGAAATTTGTTTTATTATATGATAAATTATTCATAAAATTATTAAAAATATAAAATATAAGCAAAGTTACAAATCAATCAGTAAATTCACTTGAATTTTATAAATGACTTTGAGTTTTATAAAACGACTCCTCGGGTTATATTTTTAAGATAACAATTTAATATAAAATAATTAACATATTTTCTAAAATATAATATTAATAATATAAACTCGTTTTATTAAATAATAAATTGTATATAAAATTATTTAAATAAGGTAAATAAATAAATTTACCTAAAATCAAGGAGAAGTTGTAATTTACTTCTTGTATAATAGTATAGATACTGATATATCTAGTGGTGACGTACATAGAGTTTCAGTGGGGCACTTGCCCACCATAAACTTTTTAAGTTAATGTAAATTTGTCAAGATATTTATGAATACCCTGGTTAAAATTTAATTTTATAAAGATGTTTGGTAGTGTTTAATAGTTTTGCCCCGGATAAAAGTAATTTCTAGCTCCCCCTGGACTTATATAGTTGATATAGCTTAGCAACGTATTCACTAAGAGTTTTTTCAAAAAAAAAAAACGTATTCACTAAGAGTAACAATGAAGGAACCGTAGTACATATAAGAATGACACAACAGAAGAGGTTTCATCAAACATCCACCTCATATAACCCTCTTTCTAGGACAGAGGATTTAATCAACTTGAGAGACTCCACCAAATCATCACACATCTTGTGAGGGTCAGGAATGACTGTTGGATCGGCTGTTACTGATATTATGACCTTGTTTCCATAACTTTGGAAATGTAGAGTAAGAGCCTTTACACATACGAAAACGTAATTAGCAAAATAATTTACTACATATATAATTAATTGTATATATAAATGCACACTTACATGTGGGTGGCCAAAAACACTAGGGGCGATATAAGACAAGGGATGTCCGTGAAAAGTAATTTCTTCCTTTGGACCGACGACATTTGAGAATGTCAATGTTGTGCTATGGATCACTTTCCTTACAAGAACTACACTTGCCTGTATTTTCATTTTGGTTCTCCCTTAGATAATTAATACTCATGTACTTAAATAAACAAAACATATACATGATTACCCTTAGCAACTTTTTTTTACCTTGAGCCCTAGAACTTTTAGTATCAACTTAAAGAACGCCATAGAGAATACAGCCTCAAGGGAGTGCTTTTTGCGGTCGACAGTAACTTTAGCTCTGCGCAAGTATTCTAGAGGGTCAGTCTCCAGCCCGATGGAGAATGGTAGGAGGATGTAACCGAAGAGGTTTCCCCATCTGCATTTCGATTTCTTGGCCATCATATCGGCTAGAGCCTATTTTGTATCATTTTAACAATAATGAAACCACACAATCATCTCTCAAAGTATTTGATTTCAAACACTAAAATTAAACATTTTGTTACCTCAATTCCTGCGTTTGGTCTCAAGTTAATCATAATGGCTGAACGAAGTCGGATTCTTCTCATTGACTCTTTTGATTTCGGTGTTGCTTCTTGTTCTATTTTTAATACAGATGACACAAGAGCTTCTTTAGGCGAGCGTGAACACTACACTACTATGTACAACACTATCATGTAAAATAATCAAACTCTTACCATATCTCCGACTTAGATATCGCGAAAGTCCGGCTTGTGTTACTCCAAGAAGAACATCGTTTATCGTCTAACAAAATAGATTAAAATTCAACTAAAAATGTCAGAAAATACATAATTCAATATATTCTTTAAATTGGGAAATAGAACAAAATTACCATGTTCATTGCGTTCTTCACCAGCTTAACATCGTCCAAACTGATAATTCGGTGGACGAACATCTTAGGTTTAAGTTCACTGCTGGGTTTCGCCAAAAGAGGAGTCTCCGTATCCCTCAAGAAACAAATGGTTAGAGCAAAGATTAAGACATCAACAAAAGTGTTGAAGACCAATCTTAGGATGAACCAGAGCCCTACAAATAACCACCAAATCTTGTTAAAGAAACCACTATAGCAGGTCGGTCCAAACTGTTTTTTCTGAACAGCGACAGTGGGCAAAGCCTCAGGGTCTGATGTTTTACGGGTGCAAGCGAGGAAAAGAGACATGAGAGACATTCCATCACCCAAAGAGTGATGGATCTTAAGAAGGCCAATGGATTCAGCGTTTGATGTTTTGAGGCAGAGTACGTGAATTTCCCATAATGGTTTAGACAAATCCATAGGAACTGTCGTTAGAGTAGAAATATAGTCTTCAAGATACTGATCAGGAGTTTTAATGTCAGGATCTATATCAGGAACTATCACATGCTCTTCTACTCTAACTTTAGTCCGAACCCAACTCGGTTTCCCTTTCTTCCCATTTTTCATCTCCTGGATTTATACAAAACATAGAACTCTTAAACTATATTTTTCATATGTAAAAAGATCCATGATTTTATATTTTCCTTTATATGACTAATATATTGCAAAAAGGTAAAATGTAAATACGCTTTTGTTTGGACATTTTTAGTCTGATTACAATCTAACTAAGGACTCTTGGTTAACAGCATGTTATAACTTCAATGGTACAAACAGGGTAAGAGAAAATAAGTTTAGTTTTGAAATATTATGAACCAAGTAGTGATATTTGAATCTTCTGATATGTCTTTTTGGTCCGATTAATTGAATCTTATGACTGTATCATTTTCTTCTATAACTCCCTTATACTTTTACTCTCTGTGTGTGTACATACACAACAGCGAAATCTTTTCCTAACAATAATTGTGTTCATATATCTATACATGCGTACACTTACTAAAATGCTGGAGAAGCGAGGGTGATTAGCGAGGGTGTGTTTAAGGCCGTCGATGATGGCAGATGGGTTTCCTTTGACTTTGCATCCCATTGTGACGATTATCGCACAATTAAAATCCGGAGAGTTGAACAGCCGTGAGCATGGGCTAAGCGGCTCCTCCTCCACGGTCTCTCGCACCATGTTTGTCTCTCCATCCATTCTTTGACCTATTTGTGGTTCTTTCCAAGTTTTGTGGATATTTTCACTCAAAGATCTCTATATATGAGAAAATGAGTTACGAGATTTTAGCTGTGGACTCATGGTCTATTTGGTTAACCTAGCTAGTAGCTATTACATCATGTGGATACATTATTATGTCCGTATATTTTATGTTCTTATGACATATCAGGTGGATACATTATTTTCTACTTTATTTTACTATGCGTATTTAACCCTTTTTCACTAAAAAAGGTTATTACAGACCCAACCAGATTTAAAATAATCTCGAAACTTTTTATTCGTTTTTTTTGTGTGAAAAAAACTTGTTATTCGCATCCTCTGCAGTAACTAAAACCATCCATAAAGAAGTGAGAAACACACTCCTCTCTTTTGGAGCAATCGCCTATCACAGATAGATGAACTGTTTAGGCTAATGGTTTGCTTCAAATTGTTAATACCTTTGCTTTTAAAATTCTTCAAATCACAACTTCAAAATTTAGTTGCATTTCATATTTTATCAAGAAAAGTTGCATTCTATGTAAAACAGTTTTTTTTTTGGGTTAGAATGAATCTTACATTTAATTAAGCAAAGCTTACTATTATTCATTATTGGTATGTGAAATAATGTAGTAGTCAAACAAGCTAAAATGAAGTCCTAGGTATATGAGAAATTTAATGAATACTTTACCCATTATACTAACTTCATCTACCATCACAATTTAGTTATGCTACCATTCTTTCTCTTTTATTGTGTTCCTGGCACCTTTTTTTCTTTAAGATTATTGAAAATTTTGTAGTGGAAGAAAAAAATAGTTTAATTAGTTTAACTAAGAGCAAAATATAATAATTATAATAAACACTAAAAAAATAACAAAGAAAAAATATCATCAAGTCCTCTTCGCATGGTAAAACAACTCAAGTTTTACCTTGCTAGTTGCTAGGCCTGGACGTTTTTACCCCAACCCGAAGTACCAACCTAAACCCGAACCGAAGAAACCGAACCCGGATCCAAACCATTATACAAAACTAACCGAACGGGACTTATGAGCCTAGTACTTCGGACTTTGGATATAACCCGAACAGAACCAAAATCCGAAGTAGGATCCGAAGGTATCCGAAATTAGTTAAATATGTTAATATTTTTATATATGTTAAGGTAATTTAGATAGTTTATAATATTATAAATATTTTCATAGTCTATGTTATATGTTATTTTGAATATATCTTAGCTAATTTAGATAGTTTAACTAATTTTTAGTTATACTTGTGAATAATTTACATATTTTGAATACTATTTTGTCAAATTTTTAGGTTTTAAAAATATATTTTTGGACGATTTCAAACATTGGTTATAATCCGATCCGAACCGAACCCGGAAGGAACCGAACCGAACCCGATCCGATTATTAACAAAAACCGAATGGTACTTATGAGCACAGTACCGAAAATTCGAAAATCCGAATCAACCGAACCGAAACCTATCGGGCCACCGAACGCCCAGGCCTACTAGTTGCTGTTGCTAGGTTCTTGCAGATTATAAGTTAAGTGTCCTAGCTATCTTTTTCTCTTTTTTTTTTTTTAGAATAGGACTACTAGGAGGTTCAAGATCAAAACCTGTAATTTCTTTTGATCCAAAACTATAATATATATATTCTATTAATCTCGAAGTATCAATCAATTATATAGTTTTAAAAGTAACCATACTTGGTAAATGTCCTATTAAAGAGGTTGATTGTTATTAATTGCCCAAATCAAATTTATCCCTAGCTTATATCCTTATTCTATTATGATTCATCACTTTAAACACATGAACGTAATAATAATCATGCATGATCTCTGTTTATAAAAAAGTAATATAATAACCATTGATCTCTTCAGTGACGAATGCATGAGTAGGTATTGCTATTTAATTTATATGGGCCAACCATATCGATCAGTTGACCCATACCTCATTTCATGCAGATCAAATTTATTTGAAACTTTTCTTTCGTAATAGTTCATTTAATGTTCCCTTTTTACGTAAACTCTAATAAATTACTTATTTTACCAAACATAGAAAGTGCTCTGACCATCTTCTTGGACATTCAATCAAATAATAAGCCTCTCATATGTTACAAAAATACGAAAAGAGGAGTTGATGTCAATCGATATATACAGTACAATGTATTTTTCAGAGATATCTGCATAGGACAAAACATTTTTTTTTCTAATCGAGTATCCTGACCCCATTGAAGTAGTTCAGACTAAAGATCGAGACGAGTAAGAATGTTGCCAGGACGTCACCATGTGATTTACCTATAACAGTTTTCGATCTCGGACGCTGGAAGATCCGCATGTAAATCTCCTAGTGGTCGGGTTTCGAACCCAGGTGGCAGAACTCACAACCGTGAGCTCTTTACCACCAGAGATAGAACCCTCGGTTAGAGAAAAACATTTTTTTCTTATTTTAAAATGTTACTTAAAAATCTTTATTGTATTTTTAATTAAGATTTATTTTCTGCAAGTATAAAAAATACTACTACAGATTTAATTTTGGAATTTCAGACACCTCCTTTAAATTAATTAATGCATGGTGTGCACTTTACTTTACCTCTTTACAGAAACCACAAACCTGCATTCAGTCAATGAATAAGTTATTGGTAACGACCAACTACTTAACGATTTTAATGTATATTGACATGATATCGAAGCTACATTTTGTTAACTGTTTATGATCATGTTGAAATGTTTAGAATCTTTGGTTCATATTTCATAACCGTTGCTTTTATGATCAAAAACTCATCCAGAGAGCAATATGATTGACCGTAATCTTCGCGCGGCTCAGAAAAATCAATGTCAGGGTTAGTTACGTAACTAATTACAGAATCTGTTGAATGGGTAAAGAATCTCCGTTGGATTGAAAGGAAACTGATGTAATTTATGGTTCTCATTGCCATTTTCATCTTTGGTCACCGTGAGAGAGTACAAAGAATTGATTTGGTGGTTGCATCTCATTACTCAATTCTTATTCTATGCATTTAATAGCAATTGCACTTGTAAAACAGAATAACAAAATTCACCTCCCACAAAGTCTGGATTTCACTAGCTAACAATTTCAACAGAAGCTTCCTTGCTAGAGAATACTCTTTTCGATAAATCTTGCAACTATTAACAAAGAAAGACAAGACTTTGGTTTTTCCTTTTCGACACTTCAAGACAATATGTGATTCTTTGAGTTATTGGGATCAAAAACGATAATCTCGAAATCCACGAATAAGACTACTACACTACACGAACTCTTTCTCGACATACTTTCAAAAAAAGTCCCGAGTCGAGAAATCAAGAATAAAACGACCGAATAATATCACAGACAACGTCAAATTGGACGCACATTGTCCTACTCGCCATAGGGCGAATAGGACCGAGTAGTCCAACTCACCCGATGGCAAGTAGAATCTATCAGTCTAACTCGCCCAATGGCGAATAGGATCGACCAGTCCAACTCGCCAGTGGCCAGCCAAGTCCAACTCACCCAATGGTGAATTAGACGCATACCGTCCAACTCACCATCGGGAAAAATAGGACCAACCAAGTCCAACTCGCCCGATGTCGAGTTCGAGTTGGACGAGCACCATCGAACTCGCCATCGGGCGAGTAGGACCGACAAGTCCAATTCCCCAGCAGGCGAGTATAACCAACCAAGTCCAACTCACCTAATGGCGAATTGGATGCACACTATCCAACTCACCATCGGGCGAGTATGACCAACCAAGTCCAACTTTCCCGATGTCGAGTTGGACGCGCACCGACCAGCTCACTGTCGGGTAAGTTGGACTGACCCCTTTTGTCTCATTTTCCACCTCGGACGAATCATATCTCACTTTGTCTCGATCTCAGTTACCGTTGGAACTTTACGATAAAAACCGAAAGACTTGTTTTCTCGTCTAAAGTTCATAGTGATCGTATAAAAAGGAAATGGTTAACTTAACACCATAGTTGCCTGAACTATACGAGAAGTTTGGACTTCCTTTTTAAATCGACGCTGTATCAAGAAACATTCTTTCAAAGAAATCGTAAAAGTGTTTAAGTCGAAGAACGGCCCAAAGAGGTCTAAAACGCGGCTAAAAGCTCACTTACAATTTTAACGAGATTGAGCCCAAAGATGCTATGACGGTTTATCTTCTACTCGCAGGAGAAGATAAATGTCAAGACTCTAAGATAAATGTAAAGTTTCAAAAGATAAACATGAATCTTGAGAAGATAAGGAAAACTTCCGCAAAGAGATAAACACGAATCAGCCAAGATGGTCTATCTTGGAGACATAAATAAGGAAGAGCCAAGACAAGGAGTATAGGGACGATTCTTTAGACTTTAGAACTCTCTGCACTTAGAAACTTTAGGCTTTATTCTCAACAAGTTTGGTTTATATGACTGGCACTCAATTACTAGACAAACTTGCACAGGCGGTTCGATCTCTTGTTCCAATCTTTTAACTGAACTACGTAGGCAGCCTTTCATAAGTTTCAGTTCGAAATGAATCAAAAACTTTTTCATATTTTTCGTCTTTTGTTATCGAAGGGCGACTTAACTAGATTTAAGGTTTTAGGTTGCTAGAACTAGGTAATTCGCTAACAGCTCTTGCAGCTGAAGCCTTTATAATATTTTGTAATAATCTCAACACTCTTACGTGGATTCGAAATTAGATCTATTTTCTCTATAAATTTATTTTGTTATCTTTTTCGTATTTTTCGCATTTATTTGATCACTTGTCGTTGGCTTTCTCAGATAATCCAGGACCTTTGGAGAATTAGGAATTTTCTAACTTTCCATATTTTATAGAAATAAATGGTGCGAATTTTGGTTCCCACAGTTTGGCGCTAGAAGGAGGGGGGGGGGGGTACGGATTACTCTAACTCAAGGCCACAAAAGGCTGATCGAAAAAATGTCTAGAAATATGAAAGAAAAATTCGCAGCTGACCTCTCTTATGGCCAATGCTTACGGAAACGCCGTAGTTCTCAAAA